ATCAACACACGATTTATACTTAATTTACCTAAAAATACGACTTGTGAAAGAGCATTTTAGGGGAAAACGTTTCCAAGCTGGAGTTTATTAACGTGTGGTTTTCCTCTACAGTTTGTATTAAAATTCACTTCCAAAATACCTCCATCCTTTGCACCCACCACTGCAAAAATGTCCACATCCAAGCTGAAGCAGAACGAGCTCTAAAAGCTCTGCTGCGCTGAGGAAACGTTACGTAGACCCGCACACGATCCGAGCTGCGTCGTGGCAAACGAGGCCGAGTCAAGGAGGGTTTGGGGTTCTTGCCGCAGGGGAGCTGGCGCTCCCGCTGCGCTCCCCCCGCTCCGGCACGGGCTGGCTGGGGGGCTCTTACCCTGCTGCTGGGGAACTCGGGGCACAGCTTCGGAGGAGGCGAGCGCAAGGGGTGTTCGCAGCTGTGCGTCGCTCCAGCCACCCATGTCTGAAACTAAACCCGCAGGGGAGTCCGGGCGAGGGGCGGAGCAGACCGCGGTGTCTCGAAAGGCCTCACGAGAGGTAACCCGCCGGCTCTGCGCCCTGTTCCCACCGGAGCTCGCTCTGCTCTCGAGCGGCTCCTCACGGACGCAGGAGAAAGGCCAGCGAGGCTGGGCGAGCGGTTGCCCTCCGGTCCGTACCCGGGGCACGGAGCAGGCAGGTAAACCCCGCGCCCTCTTTCACCGCCCGCCTCCAGAGAGCGTCCCGCGGCCGTACGTGCAGCTCGCCGGCGGCAGCATCCTCACCTGATAGGCAAAGGCTTGCGGTGAATTGTCAATTATGATCGTTTTTGAAAGATCTCTACCCAGAATGTTTAAATCCTTTATGTAGTTTCCTTGTACGCAGACACAATGCTCACGGAAAAGTCGATGCCTGTGATTAAAGTAAAACACTCGTTAATGAGACAAACGACCTCACCTACGTTGCCTACAGAAAAAGAAACGTTAACTTGGCCAAATGTTACCCAGTTTTTTTTCTCTCCTGACCTACTTGGCTCCTCCGAAAGAACTGTTCCCTTTTTCCATTCTCTTTAGAGCCTTTTGCTGGCAAAATCACTAGTTCAGGTGATTTCACATTAACCCAGTTCTGCAGGCGGCCGAGCTCGGCTCAGCTGGACCCAGGGTTTGGCAGCAGGGCCTGGCTTCCGAGCCCTCCCGGCAGAGGGGCCGACAAAGGCGCCCCAACGGCTTTGCAAGGCCCCACGACCAGTCGGTTCTGCGGAGGAGCCAGTTTAGGGGTTCTATCGCCCCCCGTTACGGCACGTGCCCCCCTGCGCCGCCGCGCTAGCGCACGGAGAGGCGGAAGGGCTGCCTGTCTGACGGCACCTCTGCTCACAGCTAACCCGCGTCAGGCATTAGAGCTTGAAAAAAGCCTGGAGGCCACAACATTCCGTCAACTTCTTCCTTTCCAATTAGCCTGCTCCCTTTTAATGTATTACAGAAGAAATGGACGGATACACTGACAGACTCAGGTTAAAAAAATGCCAGGAATAAAGCTCACGTCTCATGGAGCATCAACGGAGTTACAATTTCAACATAAATCACGAACTAGACAGATTTTGACTCCCGCGCAGCCGCATCACAGCGCGGCCTCTTTAAGGCCGCTTACGGTCTCAATGAAGTTTCTCAAGCTGCACGCGCGGTGCTTAATTCCACCACGGGGCTGAGCTCCTGGTGTCGCTGCGGAGGAAAACAAGCCGCTGCCTCGGCACCGAAGGCGTTTATATATAGGTTCTGAGTCAGGCGCGCGGCGTGCCTGACGAGCCCACCCCCAGGGGCCACGCCTCGATGTCAGCTTTTCCCTGGCACACGAACCACAACTGAGCTCGGGCGTCACAGGAACCTTTCTGCACACCCGCAGAACGCCGCCCGCCCGCCTGTTGTACCAGCTCTTCCCGGCTCCCAGGGCAGCCAGGACTGCAGTCCCGCATCACGCGCGTTCGGCTCCCGCAGGAGGACTTGGAACGCTGCGGACGCTCGCGTCCACCCCTTTTCTGCAGGCGCAAATGCCTCGTTGCTCACAGACCCCGCGGCTGAGAGCACGGGGAAACCTAGGTTTGTCTGCCCGTGCGAAACGCAGCGGCAAGCGAGTTGGCTAAAGCCCAGCGAGGACACTGTCACCCGCGGCACAGAAGATGGCTGCTCCTGGATGAAAACTAGTGAACAGTTCAGCTTTATGCTTTACGAGTTACGAGGCGACTAAACTACCAAGTGAAAACAACGGATGCCACCACTGTCTCCATCCAAATGGCAATTTTATTACGTGGGTAAAGAAAACCGAGTTTTCACTGAAGAGTATCACAGTGAAATGATGCCGAGAAGTGCTTTGCCACTGGTGTCCCAGGAACAGAGGTTACACAGTCCCCACTCTAATCTGGCATAGTTGTTACCTCCCCTACTCGGGACGCCCTAGGTGAGAAGACCCCTCTGTGGTTTCAGCTTTCCCACCTAACAGCCCGCCTGCCAGAGGAGAACAGAAAGAACCTCATCCAGCAGAATCCCTTTCTGCCCTCAGGAACTGCTCGTGAGAAATCCCCGTCACTTCCAAACAAAGCTCAGTATTAAGAAAAGAAATGAAAAACCAGAACAACCCTGCTACGAAACGCACAAATTGTGCTGGGACTGAGCAAGAGCTACGAGCAGGCTGACCTTCTGAATTCACAACTTATAAATACCACACCACGCCTGAGCAGGTCAAACGCAATCCAACACTCGCTTCGCTTCCTTCGTCCACAATGTGTTTCCCAAAGCAGCCCAACACGTCTTTGACACCCGAGAGCTCGTTCTCCGCAGCGAGCCCAACGCGCCACAGAGAACGGGCGGGTTCGCTGCCTGGCCCAGAGGGCGAGGTAAAGCTCCCGGGTTTATCTCACCACCAAGGCAACGCCTCAATCGCTTCCTTTCATTTTTCTCTCGCTCTTAGACCAGACAAAACCACAAAGCACCCCTTGGGTGAGACACGCTGCAGTAACGAACACAACATCATCACCTTCTTCATCATCATCATCATCATCACCACCACCACATTTGTTAGGGAACAGCACTCAGATTGCTTACAACAGGAACATTCAATTTTCTGGTTTTACCTGACCAGCTGCTTTTTAGGGTCTAGTATGTTCAATAACTTGTCGGCGTACACCTTCTTAGAAGCAGTAAAAAGAATGATCTATGGATGAAAGGAAAAAAAGTAATTATTTCAGATACAAGCGCGCAAACATAATTTAAAAACGAAATTCAAAGGTAGCGTTTAATGGTTTTTACCTCATAAATCTGAGACATACGTTCCAGGAATTCTCGGAAGAATGGCCTTAACCGGACATAAACCTGAGGCAGAGAAGGACTTTGTTAAAGATCCAAAATACTTCAGCCATCAGCCGCGCTACTCAGTATCGGTTTGTAAAGATTAGGTCAAAATGAGCAATACGAATAAAGCAATCAGCAAACATTAACGTCCTGCAGAACAACAACTCCATTAAACAACAGCGAATCAGCCTGCAGCCTGAGCAGCTGTAAGTGAAAGCGTAAGATGATGAAATTAGGCTCAACAAATTTACTGGAAAATTTGAGGAAATTAGAAATAATTTCAATTAAAATATAAAAGTTGGACAATCTCTAGAGAAAAAAAGAAACTGGGTGCTTGGACTGAACATTGTGAATTAGCTTTCACCAGCTGGGCAGCACCAGTTCAACTACTAGGCAACGTGTGCCAGCCCATGAATAAGTGATCTTCTCAATCACCTTCTTCCACTAAGAACTACCCACTGAATATGGGGGTGTCAGAAGTGATTTAGAAAGAAAAAAAAGGCTTCAGCCGCTTCCAAATTTCCGTCAAACACCGCCAGCACAGCCCTGCTCACCGCTCACCTACACACGTTATTCCCTCTAAAAACACGGAGGCCACGGGCAGAGACGCCGAGTTCGGGGGGCTCTGCACCTCTCCCCGGTTTCACTCAAAGGCCAAGACTCGGGCTCACGCGGAGGCATCTGTACAAACCTGCAGCTTCAGGGCAAGGCCCGACACCGCGGCAGATGCGAGGGCACTGCCTGTCCCTGTGCTGCAACGTCCCAGCGGGTGTTTGACCGGGGCCCCGGTGCGGTGTCGGGCTCAGCTCTGGGCTTGACCGAAACCGGGGGTGCCGATGCCACGGGGTGCCCCGACAGCCCTGTGCGCGGCTCCCCTGTCTGGCTGGTTCCGATTCTCCTCGGAATCGCCGTTCTGCGGGAGGAGGTGCTGGCACAGCCAGCGAGAGAAGGGAGTGTACTGAACTGCTCTGCAGTTCAACCAAGGGAACTTCAGCTTTACCAGACTTTTAACAGCCCGTCAGGAACAGGCTTAGCTTTACCTTCAAATCACCGTAAATCCCCACAAAGGATTTGTATCACTTGAACGGAATTGTATCAGATTTATATGTGGACACAAGTGAGTGACCAGAGGGGCAGGAAAGGGGAGCAGTTTGAGTGAATACCAAATTTCACCCTGTCAGCACGCGCTGCCGTAGGTCTTGGTCCTCTAAAGGAAGCACGTCTTTCTAAGCCAATGTGAATTCCATTATTTAGCTTAAAATCTGCAAGGCTTTTATTTGTTTCTTTCTTAAAGGGTCTAAAGTTCTGACCGAAGTTTGCAGAGTGACCAGTTACTACAGGAACACCCTGGGTTTCTAACCCGAGAACAGTTAGGGCTGCTCGTGTTCCCCACGTGCTCACGCTCCTCCTGGCTTAGTTTGCAGCTTGTGGACAACCGCAGCACCTCCGTAAGGCGTTCCGTTTGCCGTGACTGCCACAGCGTGCCTCCACCCTGATACAGGATCTGCCTCAATATCAGTCTTTCTCTAAGAATAGCACATGTGAATGCAAACAAGAAATCCAGAGAAAATAATGTCTCTGTAGAGTACGTACGTTTAACCACAGCTCATCCACACACACCTACAGAATTTAACAATGACACCGGCGGCAGGTTCACTGCTCTGTTTTTACTGGTTTGTGACACTGCCCCAACCTAAGGCCATCACACCACTGCACCCTGCTGGGCCGAGCTGACACGGATCTCTGGGGAACCAAAGCAGAAGAATTAAGTAACCAAAGTGGAACAAAATGCACCCATCACCTGAGGAGCAGATCTAAGAGGGATAATTTTTGGAAATAGAGGTAGAAGTCTAACAGTAATTTACACAGTTTTTGATGACAGGAAGTTTGTCAACAGAGACACGTGCTATCATTTACTTCAAAGTGACTTCTAAATACAACATACGTGGAAAGCCCTCTCGAAGTTTTTTGATGGGTTTTTTGTTTGTTGTTGTTTCCCCCCCCAACAATCACCAACTCCCATTATTCCAAAGGCCACAAAATCTGAATGTGCAAAACCAAAACCATCATTCAAGGTCTTCCTTGTTCAAAACACGCAGGACTAATGCTCTGAAGGTGGAAGGAAACATTATTCCTTTCATGCATTACAAAATCTCAACAAAAGACACGTGTTCCACTTGGCGCCAGAATGTCTGACAGGGCCGTACTGGGTTTCGAGGTACCTGTAACACACCTCCGCGATTTCACCCTCGTTTCACAAGGTGAAAACCAGAGGCAGGTTAGTCACCTCGCCCGTGTGAAGCTGCACTTACCCACTGCACGGCCAAGACGAGCACCCTCCGGCACGGCAAGACCCCCTGCCCGGCCCAGCTGCCTCCCCCTACCCCGCTCGACCCGGGGCGCGCCAGACGCCAACGCCAACGCCAGGCTATCCCTGCTCCGGCCCTGCCCCGGAACAGCCGTGACACAAGGACACTGTCTGTCCTGCTGCAGGGGCAGGCGGCACGGGCAGGCGGCCTCAGGCCGGACACACCATGCCCCGAGCGGGGTCTGGCTCCAGGCCGGGCCTGCCAGGCAAACGAGCCCCGCTCTTTTCGACTG